ATGTCTGTTTAGATGTATATTGTGTTAATTCCAAAAGACAATAATCATCCGATGTGTTTGAATGGAAAGCACCATCAAGTTCTAGATGTAAACTGATGGAAAGCCTTGACTGTATATTGATGGAGGTACCTTCGATTCGACATCTGCATTGTGGTCGTTCTGCAGGAGCAGCGCCGCTGCTTTGGTGTCGTCCTTACGGGCGGCGATGTGCAGAGCAGGTAGCCGCACCTTCCCCTTGGTGTCGTTCTCCAGGAGCAGAGACACCACCTGATCATGACCCTGCTGGAGAGCTACGGCCAGTGGAGTAAAACCATCCTACAAGCACACAACGCAAGAATCCTTGAGTAGTCCAAAGAGATGTAAATCTTAAAGGTAAACTACAGAACTCTGGGCTCTCCATCTGTGGTAGCAACATTCAAATTTTCTAAATAAAAATAATCTTTATACAAGAATATAAAATATCAATCATATCTTGAGAAAAACACAAAATATATTAATATATGACTGTGTCAGCACACTTCCAGTTAATGACAGAATGTTTAATAAGAGCAAAAATCTATGATAATTCTCAGAGAACGGCTTGACATCAAAATGCTGTAATGCATGTAATCTTTTTACGGTTTAAAGGGGTCATATGATGTGATTTAAATTTTTCTTTGGAGTGTTACAAGCTCTTGGTGCATAAAGAAGATCTGTAAAGTTGCAAAGACTAAAGTCTCAAATCCAAAGAGATATTCTTTATAAAAGTTAAGAGTCAACCACACCTACCTAAAATGGCTAGTTCTAAAACGCCCCCACATGTCTACGTCACAATGTGGGAAGATTTGCATAACGCCGCCCAAATGTTCACGCAAAGAAAGAAGGCGTAACTTTTATTCTCACTGTAGTATTGTTGCCGCTGCCGCTGCCGCCATGTCGTGAAGGCGCTGTGTGTTTCATTGTGAAAGCGAAACTACTTTGTTTGGCCTTCCAAAAGAGGATGATATCCGCTTCATCATGCCTAGAGCTGATCCTTGCTGGTCGCTGAGGAAATACATCAACTTCACGCTGTGGATCGCCGGATCGGCTTTCAATGTGGGCGAAGCGGAGTCTAGCCCGGGGTCGTCACATGTGGTCCCGCCGGCCGCTCCTTCGTCGAATCCACCAGTTGTTCGGGCCCCCTGGTGTTTCGGGGGCCCTACACAGCTTGCGTATTTTGCGTATAGAGAGGATCAGCTCTGCTGCTGACATTTCTCACAATGGAAAATTCACAGAATTCTGTGAAAATGTAAGTTAAAAATGTGTACTACTCTCATGAGTGGTTGGGAGTGTAACAAAAATCGCTCTGTTAATCTGTAGAGCTTTCTGTTATGCAAACATAAATTTAATCTGGCTCTGGGTTTTAGCACTAACATACAGTACCACAGATGAAATGAGTCAGCTATAAAAGTAGCTAGCTAGCTAACATTGGCAAATGTGGGGTACACATAGTGTACATAATTTTTTTATACTACGGTGCAAAAAGAATAACCTTGTAAAAATATACTGTTCCAGCAAACCCCTGTAGCAACCTTTTTTTCAAACATATAACAATTTGCAATCAGCCTCCTCATTTAGCAAGCGAGTGTCTTTATTTTAAGCACTGGAGTGTGAGAAAGCAGAACCAGGCTGCACTTGTGATAAGTTCTGGAGATAAAACATCGTCTGTCTCTAGTCTCCTGCACACGTGTGTTTAATTTTGGACTCCCTGAGGATTGTTTCGGTGACAAGGCAAAAACGCATGCACTACTACAACTATCCACCATACCAGCTCCAAAATCCCAACAGGTTCTCCTCAAAATGGAGACATACATAGGTTATATTTAATGCAGCCACTTCAAAATTATTTTAGAGCTGTTTGAGGACAAACTGAGAACTTAAATATCAGAACTTGCAATGCAACGCTGGAGCAACTCACATTCTCTGGGGCCAAAGCAATGGATATTATCATAAACTGATTTTTATGGTTGGTTTTCTCTTTCTGATCAACCACTGTCATGACAGAGCAACAGAATCTTTTGAAGAGAATCTTGCTGAAGAAGTTAGTTGTGTGTATCGTGTAACTGTATAAGTAGCTACCTGTACAATAACACATCCAAGTTAATTAGCAGTAGGCTATAAAGTAAAACTAACAAAAAAGTAGCACTGACTACATTTTTCTGTGGTGTGACATTTTTCGACTATTTTTTCAACTTTTTATTGTTGAGTTTTAATACTGTGACTTAATTCAATCATTCAAAACTCCTCATAGTTTTGTAATAAATTATATAATCTGAAAAAGTTACCATTTTAAAAGATTTAAAAGATGTTGCCTCATTTTAAAGCTTCAGTGTAGTTAGTTTTATTTTCAAATGTTTTATGTTAATTATGTAGCTAACCATAAGTTAACCATAAGTTAGCTAAGATTAGCTACTACTGTAATTAGAAGGCCCAGACAAAAATCTGCTGATGAGTTTGCAATTTGTAGCTACCTACAGTTTGTAGCAGTGTTAATTTCGTTGACGAATAATTTTTGTCATAATCTTCGTCAACGGCATTTTTTTCATTGTCGACAACGAGACTATAACGAACTAAAACTTCTTTTTGAATGACAAAAACTATGATGTAAATCTATTGACATTTTCGTCAACGAATAAAAACGAGACGAAAATGTTAGGGAGGGACGATTTGGGAAGAGATTCATTCAGAACGAATCTGCTGCGTGGTTCAGAGGTTAGATGTGTACATATGAACTGGCAGGACATAAGCTAATATACACTTGCTGCACGTCGCATAAAACGTTAAAAAATGTCAATATGTGGGAGTAAGAGAAGAGCAGACATATGAATAAATCTGACGACGCAAGAGAGAACTCAGTTCGGTCCGGTTTTCAGAGCGCAGACACTGAAGCAAACACACATAGAAAGTGCATCTCACAGCACACAAGTACTCTTTTGCGTCGCATGAATGGAGAATTACACACAAAATGATGTTGAATTGTCAGTTTTTACGAGTATTCATGTGAACACAGTTGATTACGTCTTAAGTGAAGGTAAACAGCAGAGAGAACGTGTATCAGTACATTGCATCCATTGCAGCTTTGCATTCGGTTTTAAAGGGATAGCAGCCAACAAAAGAAAGACAGAAAATCATGCACTGCTCTTGACTGAAAAACTTTAGTAGCCCTAAATATTAATCTACATTTATTTATAGAAATAAATATGTCTGCTTGAAAGAATGAAGAATATGGTAAACATGTTGCTATAAAGAATGCATTATTAGCCTATATAACCATTGGTATTTCATTAAAAAGAAGACCATGTTCTTGTTCTTTATGAGAAGTGGTTTTATTTAATTTGAACATTAAGGCATGTTGTGTGTCACCGCAGTTAAATCGGTGTCTATCATGAAAAAACCTTAATATCAAACCTATATAATGAGCTTGGAAATTTTAGAGAAATGCTTAATAAATGCACTGTAACTAAACCCTTTAGATTTTAGCCGACTGAATTTACTGAAGATTTAGTCGACTAAAACTAGACTAAAACTAAAAACAATTCAGATTACTAAAATATGACTAAAACTAAATGGCATTTTAGTCAAAAGACTATGACTAAAACTAAATCAAAATTTGCTTCCAAAATTAACACTGGTTTGTAGCTAACTATTTTTAGTGTAGCTACAATAAATTACTTTAAATTATGAGAAACTTTTAGCTAGGCAACTACTGTACAGTATCAAACTAGCTTCACAAATGCTAGGTTCCATGGCATACATTTTTGACTTGTGCAGAGTGCATTTTTATATTAATAGTGTGTTTAAGTCCTCCTGGGATATTCATATTTATGAGCTGGAAAGTGTTTATGATGGAAACTGAAAAATTTGAAATTCGTATTAGCGAGTTGGAAAGTATTTATAACAGAAATAGGAAAATTGAAACTTCGTATTTACAACATCATTTGCATTCAAGTCATATAGCCAGCCGAAGATGACGATGTACCCTTTCTTCAATTTTTTGTTATTTAATTTGTATTTTTTTATTCATAGATTTTTTATTGTACTTCTACACGTTGAATAAAAAAGTGCATCAGTTTGTTTTGTTTTATATTTAATTTATGAAGGTGCTGTAAATTATACATTGCTACTGTATTTTGTACATGCTACTTTTTACTTATAATTTCATTAATTTCAACGGTTTATCTATTGCATTCACCATATTTTCTCATTGACATGACCCCAAATAAGAAAAGTTTCCCAGCCATAATTATGACTTTGTTGGCATTCATGTGTGTTCAAATTGTAAATGCATAAAGTGCGTAAATACTATCTTACTCACATGAATTGAATGCACCATAAGAATGGAAGTGTTTTACAGTAAAAGTCACTCATGCTTTTTCAAGCGCTGACTATACCTGAGACTGGGTGTTGATATTTGCTCCGTTATTCACAAGTTCCTTGACAACATCCACCTGTCCAGCGAGTGATGCTATGTGCAGAGCAGTGTTGCCTTTCTGGAATCAGGAGAACACAAGAGAACAGTTTGACTCAATGTATACAGTGACCCAATGTTTTTTCATAGACCAGCTGTATTTTGAAATGCTTCCTCGCTATTTCTGTCACTGCTCTAGTACATAAATATCACTTTGAAGAATCCCCTTTTCTTCAGAGTTTCTAAAACCTCTACAGAAATCCTCCTCTTGAAGATCCTCAGCATGAAATAGTAGATCCAGCTCTTGGTAGAGGCTCAAAGTCAACCTGAACATCAGGCAACAGTGACTTTGAAGACTCGCTGATGCAGCAAAATCATGTCTATGAAGCCATGCACAGCTGAGTAACACACTTGTCATCTTTAATTCATATGCTCAGTCATCTATACTAGTGCAAATAGTGCATTTATAGTGGTGTGTTATAATATCTGAACTGATGAGGGGAGGCTTACCTTTGTTGCGGCGTCCACAGTGGCACCAAGTTTAATAAGCTCTGCCACAACCTCCACATGGCCTTCCTTAGATGCTAGATGAAGAGCGTTCAACCCATTCTGCATCCAGAGAAACAGATGAATCATGAAAATAAATGTATTAGCTGCCTATTTATATTATTTGGGATTATAAACATATATAATATGTAGGCATATAAGAGACAGAAAATATTATTTAACAGTCTAAATCAGAATTAGAAAGTCTCAAGGGCCGTGGATATGTTTTTGAAAGAAGTCTCTCATATGCTCAACAAGGCTGCATTTATTTGATCAAAAATACAGTAAAAACAGTGGCTTTGTAAATATTATTACCATTTAAATAACTGTTTTCTATTTTAATATATTCAAAAATGTAATTTATTCCTGTGACGCAAAGCTGCATTTTCAGCATCATTACTCCAGTTATCAGCATCACATGATTCTTCAGAATTAATTCTAAGGGCGTGTTCACACTTGGCATCGTTTTTGACAAGAAAAAGTTGACAAGAGCACTTTTTTAGTAAAATAAAAAGCTGGCAGCATTTTGGTTACAAATAGCAGCCGAGGGAGTCTTTTGTTGCTATAACAACAGCTGCAACAGTAGCCTAGTACTGTGTGCTGCAAAAATGTCGAGAAAGAGTACAAAGTTGGCTCTTGCGTTGGCTTTTTAAGTTAACGGGGAGGGTAATGTCAGTTCACAACAACGTTTGTGGGTGTGCGACATTATACGGGGAAGGAAACCAGCAAAATCACGATATATCACCAGCAAAGTCGCGATACGTATCACGATACAGAGGCCACGGTACGATATGTATCACGATACGGGACTACACTGAATTTCACCTCAGAAGAATTTCGTAAAACAGCTGTTTATTAAACACTGCATACCATAGGGCCGTTGCTAACTATTGGCAGAGCAGGCAGTTGACCTCTACATTATGAAGGGCCTCCATAACTGTACCAAAGTACAATAGCCTATAGGTAATGACTTATGTTTCATGTTTACATTGGGCACTCCCCACCAGGTACAATATTCTGATTGTTTGCATCTTGTTTTTAAGCCCATAAATAGTAATGTACTCGTTCTAATAAATGTATATTGTAATGTACTCATACTAATATATTAAAATCATCTTAACATTGCCAGTAGGTTATCACTGCACAAATCTAAGACATTCTTTTTCGCGTTTAGACCGGTTTAGACAGCGTTTCCCCACAATTTTATCAATAAAATTGCTTAATCGCTGAAGAGCTACATTATCTTTCTCAACAAGGAGCTGGAAACATCATCGTTTCTAAAGCAATTAAAGCTACAGCTTCACTGTTAATAAAGAAACGCGGCAAAACGGTGGTAATTCATACATACATCCTCTCTCTCTCTCTCTCTCTCTCTCATAAATGAACACTTGATAAATGACACTTTTCTGATAATAGTGGAGATCGCTAAACTGCAAGCTAACCGGTGTTTTCAGAAAGCAAGTGCATTTAAACACAGTGGAGAGAGAGCACGTGCACATGGTTGCCAGGTTGACAAAGATAAATAGCACACTTACCAGATATTTCCATATCGCGAAAGTGGTAAGCTCTGTTTCGGGTATTACGTTTCTTTATATCAGGCAACCCGGTTGTGTTCCTCTGCAGCCAGATTAAACCTCGTTGTAGCCTATATATTATGCTCTATTCATTATTTTTTAGAAACCTTGCACTTTTCTACTCCCTTTAAAACGGTGTTCTTGTATTCAAATTAAGCGCAGTCCACTGTAGCGCACAAGCCACAATATCGATACAGGGCCAGCTGTATCGATACTCGTATCGTCAAATCTCTGTGATGATACATCGTCATATCGATGTATCGAACACAGCACTAGTGCTTACCATAGACGCCAATTTATGTTTCTGCCGGTGGGTGCAAAAAATGAGCATTTTATTCATTTTCACTGTTTCCATGAGTAAATGATAACCAGGCTAAGTTATTATACACATACGCAACAAATGCTTAACATATTTAAACATTCTCATTACTCAGTAATTAATTATACTGGGTGTTAGTTCTTTTCTAGAGTAGCCTAGGCTATACTCCGTTCGATGCTGCGTTTGATGAATTCACTACACAAAATGTATCTTGCGAAGTGAAATGCATGCAGTTACCAACCAAATAATACACACATTCTTTCTATAAGGGTAGCGCTTCACTAAATATTACTAAAAATAATTAACTAAAAATGTAATAAATACCTGTTTACAAAAAGCACTTATTCGTGTGTCGTGTACACAGGACAAAGTTTGAGGGCGAGAATCGTGCTGGCGCCCTCTCGTATGGCAATAATGCACTCTCGACATTTTCCATTAAAATAACGCCAAAAACTGCCTCAGATTACCTATAAATGCGGGAATAAAGTTGTAAAAGCTGCAATCCATTTCTTATTGGTTAAAATTAACAGAGATTATCTCGTGTTTTTCCGTGGGTGCTCGACCATTTCCGTGGGTGCTCAGGGATTGGTGCATATAGTGCTTACAACAATTTAGTCCAGGAGCTCCGGTTGGATGATGCACGGTTTGCGTCATATTTTAGACTAGACAGAGTTTTGTGCTCATATCATACAACTCCTTGTGCTCCGTAACTAGTATGATCTATCTACGGGCTATCTTTTCCATTTTTCTTGTTGTTTTTGTTGTTATGGAAACGACTTGCCACCTGCTTGTCATTGGTCAGCTGTCAAAAAGGTGCTTGACGTAGGGCGTCTTTTTTTTTGTTTTTTTTAAAGTTGAACTTTTTTCAACTTGAAAAGACACTCTGAGCTGCAGAAAAAGACGCCGGCGGTGGCGTTTTAAAAATCGCTCAGGACATTTTTGGAAACATGGTTTACTCCATAGGATTATAATGTAAAACAGATGCTGGCAGATTCAAAAAAGACGCAACGTGTGAACATAGCCTTAAATGTTAATTTGCTGCTCAATAAACATCAATGTTGAAAACCGGTGCGCTGCTTAACAGATGTGATGAACATCTTTAAAAAGTGAACAAAGTTGTTCGATGAACAATGATAGAAATTGTTCTATGAACAAAGTTAAAAAGAAGAGCATTTATTTGAAATTGAAATCTTTTGTAACATTATAAATATCTTTACTGGTTATTTTGATCAGTTTTAATGCACCCTTGCTGAATAAAAAAAATATTAATTTCTTAAAAAAAACATCTTATTGACCCCAGCCTTTAGAATAGTAGTATATAGTGCAAATAAAATGTTCATTTTACAAAAACAAAGATGTATGACCTGGTTGCAGATGTTGATGTCCACACCAGACTTTATATAATCGAGGGCCTTCTCAAGGTTTCCAGCTCGGGCCGCTCTGAGGTAACTGGCATTACTGTCAGTCTGAAAGAGAGAGAAATAACAATCAGATCTTCCTCTTCACAACCCGTGACTGATCAATAGGAACCAATAACACCATGAGCTGATGCTTTCACTTATCAAGCGAGAGAAGGAAGTCCTTTGAAAAAGAAGAGTTAACAAAATTCAATCTATAGCATGATCTGCATCTAAGCAAAAACCTAAAAGATAAAAGAAAGAGATAAAGCATATTATTGCTGGACATGGCAACCACATAGCGACATGCAGACATAGACAAACACCAAAAAAATCAAACTATTTTGCTCTGAGAAGTGCTTTGAGAAGTGAAGTGCAGCTGAGATCTGTATACGAACAGCTGATCGTGCAGCAGGTCATTGCCAAGAATCCCGCTGCCGCTCCTGTGTCTGATAATGGGCTAGCTGACATTTGTAATAACCGAAACACAAATAAACAGTAATTCTGTGGAAAACTGGCTGTTGTTATGTAAAACAGGGCCTGAGAAAATGTTACAGCTCTAAGAGTGGGATTCCAGAGGCATTCACACAGGATCAGCATGAGGAGCAGTAATGGATGCTTTCATCCTGTCAGAGTAAAGACGTCACACACCTGACTAAGCATCCTATCATTACTAGTATTACATGAGTGTGCTGCTCTTTTCCATCCTCCTCATCATTTTTTCCATTTGCAAAAGTGGTTTTCTCACACCACGATAATTTCAGCTTCACTTAAAATATATTTGTTTAGGCCTGGGGTTTATAAGAAATGTTGTTTATGATGAATGTAACTATAATTTGTTTGTTTTATGCTTATATATTTCATTCATGCTCTATACGAAACTAAAGTGGGTACTAAAATGCATGTTTCTAGTGTTTCTTTAAAGGTTTGCTTTACCAGTATTTTACATTATCTATACATGTAATACTAAATTGTGAAATGTGTAAAATGTGTTTTTTTTTTCTCAACTATGCATATATATGTGAAGAGTTCATTTGCAAAAACAGATAACTCCATTTTTAACAATTTTCAAAAATGATGTTTTTTCATTGTGCATTCCAATTAATCTCGATCAAACTGCAGTTGGGTTATTTTGATTAAGTTAAAAAAGAACAAAAAAATACAGCTAACTAACACAATAAAAGACAATAAAAACATGATAACATAATAAAAAAATTATTTTTGAAAATTTTAATAAACGGAGTTATCTGTTTTTGCAAATAAACTCTTCATATATATATATATATATATATATATATAAATTATTATTTTTTTTTTCACAGAGCAGTAATGATCTGAGATTTAATAGCAGTATCATAGCAGTATCATCCAAAAACTTTCATTTTTGGATGATACAGGACCAGACATTTCTTGACAGTTTTTGTATGATTCTAATAAAAACATGAAAGGATTTTATGTTTTGTCATGTGTATGGTAGCCTATATTATGATAATAATAATAATAAATAATAATAATAAATAAATTCATCCATGCCTTCCGCTAAAGTCCAACTTTATATTATAAAAGTGCAATGAAGGAAAATGGAAGCTTCTAGCCACATGCTAATTTCATCACTGTGTGTCAGCTGTCATGAAATAGATGTTAATAACAGCTGTTCATCCTAGTTTAATGCCAGACATACTTCTCATGCTTTACTGTTACATCTGTCTGTGCATTTCTATATTAACAGGTCTCAATGCATGAAACGCTAAAGCATTTGTATTCTAAAGATATGAATGAGGTACAACAAAAACAGGACACGTAAATACTCTAGTCCAATAATTCAACACCAGGGCTAAGAGCAGCTCTGATACATGACATTAATGAGCATGTAATAACTGCAGATCTGAGAATAAGGAGTGGTCTGGGCCAACAGTTCAGAGTCCAGATATTCACACACTGACAGAGGGAGAAAGAGAGAGAGAGAGAGAGAGAGAGAGAGACAGAGGGTGTGTCTGCTGTTGCTGCAGTGCTGTAGTCCTGGCACACCCCGACACTCACATGAACACATGCTGTCTGCATCACAATCCATCCACACACTCTCCTATCCCACACCAGTCATGACACACTTTAACATCTTTGATTTACGTAACTAAAACTGGGGAGCAATTTTCAAAAAAATGTATATTGATTCTTTTATACTCTTCCTACTTAAATACTTCAAACAGTTTCCATACAGTTTGGTAAAATATAATCAAAAAATAAGCACATTATAAAGCATATAGTACACTTGAGATAAATAGTATGCTTGTAGTATGTCTGAATTTGCAGTATTCATAATATTTTTATCATAGTATTTTTTTTTGGTCACAAATTTTTTAATGCCCACAAATTTTGTTCCTCTTTAACTCTTTCCCTGCCACCGATGATACTTTCCGTCCATTATTACACAACGCTTCTCCACCACGGACAAGTTATTCTGGTAATCTGTGTTTTCAATGTCATATGGTAGGGGGCACTGTTACGAATTTTCTGAAATAGTATAGCACTTCCAAATCCAAAAACAAGTGAAAAAGAAGATCTGCATAAACCAGAGGAAGTGGATAGAAGTTGTTTACTCACAAGTAAGGTAACATGATCACCAAACATTCGGCAGCATATACATCAAAAAAGAATAACATATGAAGAGGTATTCAACTGCATAAGCTTTAGAGGTGTTGATAGACTCTGACTCTTTTTTGATGGAATCATCAATTAAAAAGACTATCAAACTGTTGCTTGTTTGTTTGAACATCATAGCAACACAATAGCACTGGCTTTTTTTTTAGGGGAAGTCGTGGCCTAATGGTTAGAGACTCGGACTCATAACCCAAAGGTTGCGAGCTCGAGTCTCCGGTCCGGCAGGGATTGTAGGTGGGGGGAGTGAATGTACAGTGCTCTCTTCCACCTTCAATACCATGACTGAGGTGCCCTTGAGCAAGGCACCGAACCCCCAACTGCTCCCCGAGCGCCGCAGCATAAATGGCTGCCCACTGCTCCGGGTGTGTGTTCACTGCTGTGTGTGTGCACTTAGGATGGGTTAAATGCAGAGCACTAATTCCTAGTATGGGTCACCATACTTGGCCACATGTCACTTCACTTTTTTCACTTTTTTTAACCAATGGTGTGATATTTGGGGCGTGGCTAAATGTTAGTTTAACCACTGTTAGTTCAATAAATTTGTTTGAAACAGTCATTCTTTTTTACAATTTCGTTTGGCGATGCTATTGGTGTAGAAACTATACACTTCACCTTTATATAAATGATTGTGTAAATCTTTGAAATGCACCCAAACAAACTATAAATAAGGTTGTAAATATTTCATACGGGTTAATCAGTAATCATTTCATTCACTTTCAGTCTTTCACTTCTTCTAGTAATATCAGTCCCTGGCTTCTGTCTAGATACTCTAGCATGTAGAAATGTCATCCTCTGTCTGTGTAATGTGGGCTCAACCTCTGCAGTGTGTGGGAGTTTCCTTTGAACATCTCTCTCTGTCTGCCTCCCTCTCTCTCTCCCTCTCTCTCTCTCTCTCTCTCTCTCTCTCTGTATTACTAGGAACCACACAGTGTGTTCTGGAAAGGCCTCAATAAAACCTGCATGAAGTCATTTTCTTTTATCTTCAATATAAGTGGAATAATTAAAGGGGTCATAGTTCGGCCAATCACAATGCACTGGGTCAGCTGGCCAATCAGAGAAGACTGCGCTTGTCGGAAGGAGGGACTTTGTAGAAAACGAAGCGTTTGAGAGAGGCGGGGCATAGAGGACCTACAATAATGTACAGTATTTGAAAAAGAATGTATTTTTTGAACATTAAAGCATGTCAACATATTCTGTTACACCAAATACACAAAATAATGATCTTTAAAAAAGCATCATATGACCCCTTTAATATATTTGCTATAACTTCGCAGGCCATATAAAATGAGGCGGCATCATAAACATTGCAATAATTTTAATGAGTTTTTTCTTTTATTTAGCCATTAAATTGAACTGAAATTACAGTTGTCATATCTGTCCATTTTAATTATTCACTTAATAATTGACTCAGTGCTTCATTTGCATCACCACTCAGGAATGTTGCGTGTGCCATTTTTGTGCATTAAAATGTTGGTAACACTTCACAATAACATTCTTTTTTTTTTTTTTGCATTTTACATTTTTCTCATTATTTTTATTTTAGCCAAAGATTTAGCAATTTGGTTGTGTTTTTTGTAATTTTAAGTCAATATGTCTATTTTTATAAACTGACTTTCAATTTTAGTTTTAATTCTTTAGTTAAACAATGAAATACTGCAAATTCAACAAATAAATACTGATGTTCATTGTTTTTATTCATGGTCGTATATTCAGGTATGAAGGTAATAAATGCTATAAAATTATTGTCAAAAGTCATAAAAAAATCGAAGCTATATTGCCCAGCTCTAGCTACTGGAGACATAACTGTTTTATCCGACACCAGCTCGGCCACGGCTCATTGATTTAGCTGTGGGTGTCATGCAGCATTCTGTGGAGTATAAGTAAAACTCAATACAAAATGATTAGTTCAACACCCTGGCAAGGAATGGCTATCACAGGCTCATGTATAGATTTAGAAAACAAGATTTTTCTTAGACAGAACATGGAATTCAATGGATGCATCACTACAAAGAAGCCACCTTCATTTCTAAAGGACCAAAAGGTTAAATGAACTTGAGAGGCCGAAACACAATGAAGCAAGCTCTGTCCTGCCGCTGTGGTTGACAGACAGCTCAGATCATCAGAGTGAGGCAATGTCCCGTCCCGCAGCCCAGCAATGACTGGATATGGGCTTTATTAGGGCTGATCATCAGCCAGCACTAGCAGAAGCCAAGCACGAGCATTACAGGAACACACATGCTAACGCACTCCCACAATGAGGCCAGTTACAGCCAGTTAGAAAGGCTCATACACAGATCTCTAATGCTAATTTGCCAGTGTTATGATGCTCCTGCACAATTATTCGTTTTTTGATGTTGTTGTTGTTTGGTATTTTAACTGGCTGGTCAAGCAGCACTATTACTTTTGAGAGA